AAACAGTTGTCAAAAGAGGATGATAGCTTCGAAACTGTAATGAGTAATTTCATGGAGAGAATGGAGAAACTGTTACTAGAAGATAGAAAAATGGGAAACGATTCCAGACAAACACCAACCCCGAGAAACCGGTGCCATAAGGTTGGGCATATTCAACGAGATTGTAGAGTAAGGATGTCCTCTCCATCAAGGGATCGTTTCCAACGATTTTCGAGATCGAGAGACGCCAGCCCTAATATTAGACAGGGAAACGAGAACTAACCAGTATGGAGGGGCGAATGCTAGTTAGTAATGACGAAGCCCCCAGGGCTGTTTAAATAAAATCATTGGGCAGTCATTATAGAGGATTAACATTCGAAGGACAAATTAATGGAGAATTGAAAACCATCACTTTTGATACTGGGAATGGATTTGATCGGCCAACATGGTTTCTCTTTTGATCTTTCCATGAACATCCTTAAATTTGGTAACGAAGAAATTGTCCTAACAACACAAGAAGAATTCAAAGCCGTTAAGATCTTGGCCACAACCCCAGTGAGGATTCCTGGAAGTACTGAGAAGATCATTTGCGGAAGATTAGAAACCAACCCTGGGTGCTGCGTTGGACTAACACGTAATTTCATTGGAGATAAACCAGAAAGATTTCTTGTTGGAAAGACTCTAGTAAGAACAAATGGAGACAATATGATAAGAATTGCCAATGTTTCTTCCGAAACAGTAAGAATAAAAGAAGGAGACATTATTTATTGGAACTCTCGAACCAGTTAAGCAAATATCGAACTGTGGTGACCTACCAGATAAGTGACATTCTACGAAATCCAAATTGGATACAGACACCTTAATGCAGACTTTGGCGAAATCATGGAAACATCTCGATCCAGATAGACTTCAAGAAGCCACAGATTTCATCTTGAAAGAAGCGGACGCATTTGTGATGGACAATCAAACCGGACGAACCAGCTTAATTCAACACAAAATTGATACTGGATTGGCACACCCAATTAGACAACCACCACGACGTATGCCAGTAGCTAAGCAACAGGAAGTGGAAAACCAAATTGATAAAATGCTTCAAGACGGAATCATTGAAGTGTCAAATAGTCCATGGTCTGCGCCAGTAGTTTTGGTTACAAAGAAAGATGGGAGTCTTAGATTTTGTGTGGACTACCGAAAGCTCAACGACGTCACCAAGAAGGACAGCTTCCCTCTCCCGAGAATAGACGATACATTAACAACTCTATCGGGCTCCACCTTAGATCTCAAAAGTGGATACTGGCAAGTGGCAATACATGACGATGATAAAGAGAAAACTGCCTTCAGTACCGGAAGCGGGTTATACCAGTTTAATGTAATGCCTTTCGGATTGTGTAATGCTCCAGCTACGTTTGAGCGACTGATGCATCTTGTTTTGCGAGGCCTCACATGGAGAACATGCCTGGTATATTTGGATGATGTCATGATCATGGGAAATTCGTTCCAAGAACATCTCAATAATCTGAAAGAAGTTTTTGACCGCTTCCGGAATGCCAACTTGAAACTCAATCCAAACAAGTGTTTTCTATTTCAAAAGAAAGTGGAATTCTTAGGTCACGTGGTATCTGAAGATGGCATACAAGTTATGGAAGGAGAAATAGATGCTGTCAGGGACTGGGCAAAACCACGCGACAAACATGAACTAAGGAGTTTTCTAGGATTATGTTCTTATTATCGAAGATTTGTTGAAGGATTCGCCAATATAGCTGCTCCATCGATTAACAGAAGAACAATCAACATTCAATTGGACCCAAGAATGCGATTCCGCATTTAGAAAATTGAAAGGAGCATTATGTACGAGCCCAGTGTTGTCCTATCCTGATCAGAAAGGAATGTTGATTTTGGACACTGATGCAAGTAACATCAGTGTTGGAGCTGTCCTTTCACAAATCCAAAATTCACAAGAACATGTCGTGGAGTACTACAATAGAACCTTATCAAAGCCGGAACGAAATTATTGTGTCACCAGAAGAGAGTTGCTTGCCATAGTAAAAGCAGTCGACCATTTTCATAAGTATCTCTATGGACGCAAGTTTCTAATTCGAACAGATCACGCAGCTCTAAAATGGCTTTTAGAAATGAAAACTCCTGAAGTACAGCTTGCTAGATGGATTGAGAAATTGCAGCAATACGATTTCCAAATTAAACATCGACCTGGAAACCTGCATAAAAATGCTGACGCTCTGTCTAGACGGCCATGTAAAGAAGATTGCAAGCATTGTCAAAGAATCGATATACATGAGAAAAACACTAGTCCAGCTGTAAGAAGAACGGGCCTGATCGTCGATGACAAATGGACTACCAAACAAATGATAGAAGATCAGGAGGCAGACCAGGACATCGGGCAAATTCTACATCTCAAAGAAAATGATGAATGTAGGCCAGAATGGAGGGAAGTGTCAAACAAGAGCTTAATTTACAAAGCGTTGTGGGCCCAATGGAACTCTCTGGCCGTAGAAAATGGTTTGCTCAAAAGAGTTTGGGAAAGTGCCGATGGGAAATCCACTAAGAGCCAACTGGTTATCCCAAAAGACCGAGTGAAAGATGTATTAGAAGAGAAAAGAGATACACGACGGAACTTCAGGGGTACATTTCGGAGTTAACAAGACTTTGGACAAAATTCGGGAATGTTTTTACTGGGTTCACTACCATGAAGACGTTAAAAGCTGGTGCCGAAAATGCGACATCTGAGCTAGCAGTAAAGGCCCTAAACTAAGATCTCGGGGGTCCATGAAACAGTATAACGCCGGTCTTCCATTTGAAAGAATAGCGATAGATGTAGCCGGACCGTTCCCAGAGTCAGAGCGTGGTAACAAATACATCTTAGTTATCATGGATTACTTCAGTAAATGGCCAGAAGTTTTCGCTATTCCCAATCAAGAAGCTATCACTGTTGCCCAGGTGCTAGTGGACGAAGTTGTCAGTCGTCATGGTGTGCCACTAGAGTTGCATTCAGATCAGGGACGAAACTTCGAATCTGCCATATTTAAGAAAATTTGTGAGATCATGGGCATTCGTCAGACAAGGACAACACCTTTACACCCTCAATCTGATGGCATGGTGGAACGATTCAATAAGACCATAGAGGAACATCTGACAAAAGTGGTCGCAAGGAACCAGCGAGATTGGGACAAGCACTTTCCTCTATTTTTAATGGCTTACAGAGCAGCTGTTCACGATTCAACAGGTGAAAGTCCGGCTAGAATCGTTTTTGGAAGGGAACTCAGGTTACCTTGCGATCTGATGTTTGGAATACCTGAAGAAGAACGAAAATAAATTCGAGACTATGCCGACGAAGTAAGGGCACGACTTCTGGGTATCCATGATTTTGCTCGGGAGCATATGCAACTAGCCAGTGACCGGATGAAGACCAGATACGACCTGAAAGCCAATTCAGCTGGGTTTCAAGAAGGTGCGGTTGTATAATTCAGCTAGAAAGAAAGGAGTATCGCCAAAATTGTCTTCAGCATGGGAAGGACCCTATAGAATAATCAAGAGGATCAATGATTTGGTTTATGGAATCCAGCGCAACACCAGGAGTAAGATAAAAGTGGTCTAGACAGATTAACGAAATATCATGGGCGTGAAGTTGATCGGGACGATCAACCTTAAGAGGAGGGCAGTGCTACGATAACGCTGACGCCAGAAGAACGGCATACGTCAGAGGAACGGCGTCTGCCAGGCTGTCAAAAATCGTCGAATATCCTAGAATCTAAATTATTCTACTATAATCGAGAAAATAAGATTATCGTGGGTGTTCTAGATTTTACAGGAATAGATTTAGGGATATATAAAAGGCCGCTATTGCTTTGAAGTTAAGTTTCAGTTTGACTGTGATACGATTTAAATAGTAATTATTGCGAGTTGTAAGAGTTTAATTGTTGAGTTAGTTATTAAAGTAATTAGTGTCAGAGTGTATTGTTAAGTGGAATAAATTGTTGCTGTGTTAATTGGACTTTGATTTTTGGAATAAACGAAACGAACCCAAGATTTCTGTCAGGCAACCCAAAGCCGTGACAATATTTTGTTTCTTTTTGTGAAGTTAGAATTAGCTCTAATTCAAAATTCAGGTTTCACCAAAAATAGGTACATACAGTCGTGAGCATAAAAAGTGGGACACCCGATTGGAAATGATATATCTACCATAAACCTAACTATTTTTTTTACTTAGTACACTTTTCTATAACTTCGTAGTACCTAGTTGGGTCAATGTATCTACCTACTGCAAACGGTAGCCATTTTTGCAAGTATAAATTAGGAGTGTTTATAATCTCCAACACTAATTACCTATTACTTTTCATCTTTCCTGTAGATGAAATACTTACTAATCTATATTTTGAAGGATGAACACTGTTTTGCTAAATGGGAATCCAAGAACAGGCTCAAAACGGTTAAAAAAAGCTTGAGGTTATGTCGGGTTGTGATGTCAAACAAAACGAGCAAATAAATGAAGACTGAAGACACTAAAAAAAATACATCATTCAACAAAATCAAGAGTTTCCCGAACGTATTCTGTTGGTGTTCGTAAACTGTTTACAACCCGTTTTGTTCCTGGTGAATGCAGCCATTGTCTTTTGGATTATTTTGTTGAGTCTTGAGTGCATTGAGGAAGGTTGAGTGCATATTGACAGTGTTGAGTTTGCTGTTTTAAATATTATATAGAATTAAATATGTACTTTGCAATGTTTGTACTGTAAAATATGTTTTACAATTTTGTAGGCAAAAGTTTTCTCCTGGTTTTATTCAAGTTTGCAAGCAACAAACTTTTTTCTCTTGTATTGTTATGTATGATAATGATTCATTTTTTTTTTTTTTTTAATTTTCCAAATAGTTCTCATCATTTATGATTCAAACGCGTTTATATGAAAGCGTTGGATGAAACATTGTATCAGCCACGTGAGTTATTATATAAGTTTAGCTTACTATAAAAAAAAGAAGAAAAAAAAAACTCGTTCAAAAATGTATTTGAGATAATCAATAAATACTTAAATAATAAAATTATATTACACTCTATTAAATATTAATTAATTTTATATGATAAAAAATAATACTATGGCGATTTATGTTACAAAAATATAAATAGAATAAATTAATAAAATGAAATTTGACAAATAATACAAGAAAGTATTTATTACACGTTAAGAGGTGGTAAGTTGTGGTGACTACCTACTTATATTTATAGAAAACGTCCACGAGGATAGTTATTTACACACACTTATCCAATTTGTATTATTACAAATGTCACATTTCACCTCACAACACCAGATAAATTTGCAGTGACAACGTTCCAGTTTGGTTTGCTTTACTGAATTGTAGCCCTTTCCACAACATAGTGAGGTACAACTGCTAGGACCAGATTTCAACGTACTGGAACGAATTTTTTATGTAATGTGGAATTAGTACAATAAATGAAACGCTTACCTATTGCATAATCTTCCACTGGTTCCAGGTACATCTAGCACATTATTCTTATCACAGAAATTTGGCGATTTTTCATAATACAGAAGATCAAAGGATAAATCTCGTCTCTTCTTATTTTTCCTTGGCATCCATTGTTTTTCTGATCGCATTTGGTTTTTGTTCACCAATTTCGGGTTGGCTCTAAAATACATTTCAATATTAGAATAACTCATTTGTATTTTACTGGTAATTATCTTACACATTAAATTTTCTCAAATTTTTGCTACCCAAATTCGTTTGATCAACCATTACAGCAGATTTGAATTTTTCCTTCAGAATATTTCCCACTAACTTTATGTCAGGAGTTGATCGCCAGCATGTCTTCATTTGACAACTTCCAGAAATTCCATGGCACTTGCAGCGTACTTTCATATTATGTTTGACAGCCTAAGAAGAAATATAAGTAAGTTAAAAAATACACGTAAATTTTGTTGATTTATTTCCTTCGTGGATGCTGATGGTTTGATGGGGTTCCCACCTTAATGAACCGAAAATATTTTCACACAAAGGGCACCCGAAGAGCTCCGCCCCTTCGTTCGGCCATCGCGTTTCGGACTCTTCGGTAATTATTATGGGATTATTATTATGAAGAAGACCACACGCGCGATCGCCGCACTATTGTTTTTTGGAACCTCGAGGTGAGAAAGGTGCCACAGGGCAGGTATGGACTGGTTGATTTATGCTTGAACAAAATCTAAAAGATAACTCACCATTCTTCCCACTTGGTTATTGTGTAAATTCGTTTTGGAATGGATATCGTCAGCTGTTTCTCTCGAGTCCAAAAACATTTTGGAAAATCTAAGGCCGAATTTCAAGTTGTGGGAACATCCGCCCCATTTCCATGCAATCGGCTGGTCTGGCTCAGAATTTTCTTTAGCAAAAATCGGTATATTATTCTGTACATTAGTTTCTCTGGAAAATATATTTGAGCTTTTCAATATTTCATCTGACAATTTCTTTTTTCCCCTCGCATAACCATAATTATTTTCTTTAAAAAATTGACGACCTTTTTTTATTTTGTAAATTTTTTCATCGCAGCCACAGTTTTGTAATGCGGCAGAACTACAAGCTTTTGCCACTGCCACGACAACTCCAGCTGACGATATGGCGTAGGAAAATGCAGTTTCTTTGTAACCTGAAAAAAAAAAAGAAAATTATCGTGGGGTGAAGTGCACGTCCGTGGTACGCCTACGCCACTGTATTGTAGTTGCACCTGGTTACATAAAAGGTATTGTTTGCAAATAGAGTGCTACTTAGTGCTTACAAATAGCGACTCTGTGAGTTGGGGCGTGGATAATTACTACCAATAATGAGGAGCTGTTTGGTATTGTTAAAAAAACCCAATGACGATATTATGTTTTGTGCAGGCGAGAAGCTGAGAATTCTCAATATATAATGTCAGATTTATGGCTTGTTCTTGTAAAGGTATTGAAATTTGTACACCTTCACCTACTTCCTTTGGTTACAGATTCTTTCTTGTACATTCCTTAGCAAAAGTAAATTGATTCGATTTTCATTATTGATTATCATATATAATACCACAAGAGAAAAAATTTTGCTGGCAAAATTTTCGACTGGTATGAAAGTTTGTTGCTTGGCAATTTTCACAGTTTTCAAAGTCGCGTTAAAAGTAAAGGTGCCCCATACACTACGTTCTTTCTCGTCAGTTTTCATCGCCACGATGAAACACGTCGTTCCAAAACCGAAGTGTATGGTAGAAAACCGACGTGTTTTTCTACCACACACTTCGGTTTTGGAACGACGTGTTTCATCGCGGCGATGAAAACCGACGAGAAAGAACGTAGTGTATGGGGCCCTTTAGAAGAGGATGCTTCATACAGCAGTAAATCTCGCAATTCCAAAAAAAGTATATTATTTACTGATTATTATATTAGCTTAAATATAAATTTGGATACGTTATTTGAATTTGAGTAAATACATCTAGTATTGCCATTTATTTATTGTAAAATAGTTTGTTAATTAAATAAAAATAAATTTACCATGCAAAAAAAGAATATATCACGATACGATAGCAAAAAGTTGAAAAATTGAAAAAAAGTTGCTAACTTTGAATGCCTATATCTCGGTCATTTTTTATCGTATGAACTTCTACCAGCGCCACTTTCACGGAAATAACATAGGCTTCATTTTTCATGAAGCAATTCCTATGCTTAAGTCAACTCAGAAAAAAGTTATAGACAAAAATTGAAGAAAAAAATAAAAAGTAAATTTTTTTTTTTTTTCAAATAGTTTTTTGGATTTATTTTGTTGAAAAAACAAGTTCTTGGACTTCAAAAAATGTCATTTCGATAGGAAATTTTATTTTCTACAAAAAACCTCAATGCATTTATTCACCAAAAATGCATAGTTTTTGAGTTATAGCCGAAGACCCAAAAAGCTGACAAACTCAACCCGCTCTTAAAAATGCACCCCTATATCTGGTAGCACTTCGCGGTTTTATCATCTCTAGGGACCATTTGAACATATCAAACAATAAAATTCCACTAACGTCTTAGTTCCTTATTGAATGGCATAGTCAATAGCCTACTAACTCTAGTGAAATAGTCAGGTTTAGATGACTGACCCATTTTATAATGAAACGCAATTTGCATGAATTTGGATTCAACTAAAAGTATCCTTACATCAAAATTTAAGGAAAATGCACCTCAGATACCTCTAACTATCGCAATTTAGTAGTACTCAGTAAACTTCAAAAAGCTAAAATGAAATTTATAGATAGTACCTACATAATATGTACCTACCTTTTTTCAGTTTCAGCTCAATTTATCATTCACCTACTATACGGACCGTATACCTACATTCACAATGAATCCAAAATAAAAGTAATACAATAGGTAAGTAATTAAAATAATAACAATAAAAGTTAATTAAATTCAGACACTAAAAAAGAAAATATGTAATTGATATTTGGTAATAAGAAATTCAGATTTGTTAATCAAGTCGAGGACAATTTTGATGTTGTTTTAGCAACAGAGTTTTCAAGTGTGCTTCAATAATGTGTTATCTGGAGTAGGGTTATAGGAGGCTGGTAAGCCGACGTGTCTTCAAAATATTCCCAATATTCCCATACTTTTCAAAAATGTGTTTAGTTTACAAGGTAAGTCTATGTTTTGTTCTTATTCTATTCCGGCACTATTTGCGGTTTTGGTTCTTAAAAAACACGTTAACTGCTTCAATAAATTGCACTTCACTTAGAAAAAAAATCGTTTTCTATTTTTCCTGTGAAAATTTCTCTTTGATTTTAATTGAGCGACAGTAAGTGCTAGAGAATTTGAGCGAGAATCGATCCAGACTCTCGCATCTCATAGCTAAAATAAAATCCAATTATACAACTAAAATGAACACTAGTTAACCTATGAAAAATTTTTGAGTATGTAAGTTCTAATTGGATAAAATGCAAAAATACAAAACCTATTACACGAAGAAAAAGTTCAGGTATTTGTCCATAATTTATTGGGAAAGGCGATATAGTGCTAAGAAATTTAAAAAAAAGTTATTCTAAATATTTGTTTATAAGCAGCATTGCATTTATAAATTGTGGTATTGTCTGTGAGGAGCATTTTTTAACCGTAGTTTCAGGCAAGTTTTTCCAGAGTCAGATCATCATCCAACTTATCACCATCTTATACAGTGTTCCCCATAATGTTCGCTACATGTGCATTTTTTATTTGCAGGATATGGAATTTTTTCTTATGTGCGATCGATCCTGCATGTCCGATAACCTAAAAATACATTTTGTCGTCGATGTGTTCACTGCTGTGGCGGCAAATTCAAAAATTTAGATATGGGAACGCGAAAAGTGGGTTTAGATGGCAAAATATCGGAAAAAGATATTTGAAAAAAAAAATTAGAATGATGTTTTAGGGCTGTCTGCGAAATTTGGAGCAGAAGCAACAAAAAATAGGAAATTACTTGTTTTTCGCAATGGATCTCTTATCAAATAATATTATAAAGTTTTTATTGTTGAAATAGTCCAAGTACCTCAATATAATGTGTATTGGTAGAACAAACCTAAATTCTTCATTGGAATAATTCCTAGAGAATTGAGAATTAAATGAAAATATTCGATTAGCACATGAAACTTTTCTGTAGCAGTACCCTGTATCTTGACAGTTACGAACTGTATTGAAATATTTAATAAAAAATCTCAACGGTTCTTTCCAATTGTTGTATCAACAGTAAATTATTGGAAATATCATAAACTGTCAAGATACAGGGTATTGCTACAGAAAAGTTTCATGTGCTAATCGAATATTTTTATTTAATTCTCTAGAAATGATTCCAATGAAGAATTTAAGTTTGTTTTACCAATACAAATTAAATATTGAGGGTACTTGGACTATTTAAATAATAAAAACTGTATAATATAATTTGATAAGAGATCCATGGCGAGAAACAAGTACTTTCCTATTTTTTGTTGCTTTTGCTCCAAATTTTGCAGACAGCCCTTAAACATTGTTCTATAATCACTTTTTCCAAATAACTTTTTCCGATATTTTGCCATCTAGCCCCACTTTTCGCATTTCCATATCTTAATTTTCGAATTTGCCGCCAGAATAGTGATCACGTGACCAATGTCAAAATGTACTTTTAGGTTATCGGGCATGCAGGATCGATCGCTCATAAGAAAAAATTCCATATGCTACAAATTAAAAAAAATCCCATACGTAGCGAACATTATGGGGGACACTGTTATGCCGGACAGATTAACTTCACAAGAATCAAATAACTTAGGTAACGGTTGTCTATATAATTTTCATTTACTTTCAACCTATTTTTTCACACTATGCTATTGCTGCTCTGCATATCTAAATGCAATTCTTCAGGCATGAAACTAAATAATAATTTAGCCAAGGTCATATTATTCTGAATTCTTTTTCGATTTCTTCAGAAAAACAGTTTTTGCACCGAAACGTGAATGTCACATTTTCTGTCAATCTTTAAGCTGATTCAGGATTTCGGGATCCTTGGCCAACCAAGGATCTTACAAAAGCAGAAAATAGCTTTTATAACCAAAAATAAATTGATAAAATGACAGGGGAAATACCGGCATGCTTTGAGAAAGAGTTTTTTTATCAGCCAGGTCCCATAGGCGGGTGGTAAAAGAAATTCAACAACTCTACATTTATATCGTTACAAATTATGTTACTGGGTCTTCAAAAGCTAACTAAAAAGTATCCCATCTACCAGGGTGCGAAAGTGAACTCAACCTAAAGAACAACAATCGGTTTGAGCAGGACAAGCTAAGACATTCTCCAAGACTTCTTCATCGTAGTTAGTTTAATAAAATTCGAGGAACAATACCGATATTCTTTGTTCTCGACACAGTGGCGGTCCATAGATGATTTTCTGGGGGGGAATAATAGATCAAGGGAAAATCATCAAGTGTTGCAACGTACCGCCGTGGGTGCCACGCCCAAATAAATTTTCACCCGAAAGTCTTTTAAAAAACATGCTTCGGGCAAAAATGTATCCCGAAGCCGTCAAAATAATTATACAGGGTGTCCACCGCAATACTATACACAAAACCAGACATTTCAAACAACCATATCTTTTTTTTTCCAAATGGAATACCCTTTATCTCACTGTAGTAGTAGCTACGTCGGTACTGGCGAGCCTAACATATTTATACGATGCCTTTGATGCTTTACTTTGTAGGACTTTTTTGAAATTTTGATGTATTTAATAAATGTATGAAAAAAAATATTTGCCTGGGGGTGTGGGAGGGGCAATTACCCCCTCAACCACCCCTCTTAAAACCGCCCTTGTCTGGACATCTTTTTATGTTAAACAGGGTATGAATGCTATTGCTTCATTCGATATCTGAATAACATTTCAAAATACATTACTCTAAGAATTCATATTTTTCTTCTGCTTTGAAGGCGGTTACACCTGGGAGCAGAATGTGGATCTTGTTCAAATTATGCTCAAAGTTTTGTTTCTCACGTTACACTACTTCTACCCGTTGAGTGGGATTCTTTGTACCTATCCAAGTCCTCTTCTATAATTCTTTCTCTACTTTTTTTCTTGCTTCTAGAAGCCGTTTGTTTGATCTCTCATTCATGTTCTTGATGTCGTTCACTTTCACGCTTTTTTCTAGTGAGTTTGGAATTT